ATAAGTAAAACTAGAAGTAAAGCAAAAATTTCAGCATTAGTAGAGTTAGCCCAAAAACAAGGAATGGCAGTAGTAAAATCTATGTTAAAAGTATCATGAACAAGAAGAAAAGCTGAACTTAAATGGGAATTAGGAGAAGTAAAATGATGAATAAATTTATGAGAACCATCGGTGTAAAATGTAAGTGAGTGTTCATCTTTTAGAGAAAATTTGAATTGATTTAAGAGTGTACAGGTTGCGGGTGATGATATTATGGATTCTATAGTAACAAAAGGGAAACTATCACTGATTAAAAGATTATTGGGTACAATAGTCGGTCTCATGTCAAGATATCTTTATGTGGCTTGATCAGATACAGTTTTGATGTTCCTTTTCAAAATGTAAAATCTTTCTGAGTTAACTGAGGTAAAATAATTAGTTTGAATAAGATGAGGTAAGTCAATGTCAATTAAATTTCCACATAAGAGCCTTTGGGTAGCAACAGGTAGTCTGGCACATTGTGATTTCTCATGGAAGGTACAGCCAGTACAGGCTACAAAAGTATTTTGTTTTTTTGATGGAGACCGTGGATCGGCAGTTATGTTGCTCGGGATGAAGTGTTGAAAAAGAATTTTGTCTGGAAAAAGTGGAGATTTGTAAGATTTTCCTATGATAGTTTGTCCAAGGTAAGGTAAGATTATAGAAGTTAGTTTCCGGTGGGGTCCAAAGAGCTACCTAATCTGATACCTTAGGTGAATCCATGGGAGAGGAAGTTTTAAAACCAGCAGGCACAAAGGGACTAATAATATATTGATCTTTTATTCTATTTGACTGCACTGGGTTCAATATGATAGTATTTTCTAGATAAGAAAACCAATCTGGATAACTGCCTTTAACAGTGTGATGATCGTTATTAATATGGGTGCTGATATCTCTGAATTTTATAAGAAATTTACCCTCACAAATGAGCTGATCAAGAAATAATATTGATTTGTGTTGTAATGAATTTATCCACTTTTTTTTCCAAGGGATAATGTTTTGTAATGGAGTTTTGCCTCCTTTTATACTGAATTTAGAATTGTTTGCTAATGTGTTTGAAAATGATAAATTTGATTGTAAATAAAAAGAAATTATGTTGCCAAGAAAGTTGTCATGACGAAATTTGTTCAGAGAAGTAGGCCAACAAATCAAAGGGTTGTCGTAAAGCCAAAAAAATTCTTGAAGTTGTTTGAGTCTAATTTCGGTAGTCTTCGTGAGGAGTGATAGAGATGGATCACTATTTATCATGTTAGCGAAGTGTTGTGGTTTGGAATGTATCATATTTGCTGCAAGATCATTGAAACCATTTGTCAGTTTGCTGGTTAGCATACTGTTATGTGTTGACTTTGGAAATTTGAGTTTGTGTTTGAGAAAAATCCTAACTTTGGTGAACAGAGCATTGCATTCTTTAGGTGATAAAACAACTAATTGTGAACGATATTCAACCCTAGGAATTAAAACCATATTAAAGATGTATTTTAGTTGCTTATCAGTGATTTAAGCCGATAGTGCTACAGTCAACTGATAAGTTGCTGACTAAGTCATTAGCTTATTCGACTAAGATCTTCAGGGGGTAATACATTAACAGTATAATATTTTTATTTTATTTTATTTATTTATTTATTTAATTTTTTAAAATAAAAAATTAAAAATTTTTATTTTGAATAAAAATAAGAGATCATGAACAGTATTAGGACTTAAGCGATTTCTTTTATCAGTAATAATATTGCCTGTATCTGAAAAAAACTGTTCAGATGGAACAGATGTAGCAGGTATAGATAAAAATTTACAAGCTTATCTAGACAATAAGGGAAATATAGACTTTCTTTCACACCACCATTGTAAAGGGTCATTAAGATGATATTCAGGATGATTCATAGGTATTACAGAAAGAGCAGGGAGTTGTAAGTATAGGGAAATTTCTGTATCTATTGGAGATATGTTAGATTGTTGTAATATCATATTTTGATTGAAAAAATTTATAAAAATAGAATTATTATAAGAAAGAGAAGTAATTGGAGATATGAACTGTAATTTTGAAGTTTCTAATAATTCAATCTGTTGTTTTAAATTTGTCTAAAAAAACTAGCAATACAACCCAACATATGAGAAAATTCCCAACGTTTATTTAGAGAAGCTAAAATCTTATTACATACTGTTACGATAGATTGGCTTGTGATAGTTTGTATAATATTTTTTAAATATTCTTTTAAAAATGTAAAGTGGAATACCATAATGAAAGAGTTGGATTTGTGATACCTGAAGTAAGATTCGTTGCATCTACAAAAGGTCTAAGTAATAATATGAATTCTTCTAATGCTATCCAATTTTCTGAGCTAAGTAATAAATTTTTCAAAAGATCACCATCAGAACTATTCGTTGCATCTACAAAAGGTCTAAGTAATAATATTAATTCTTCTAATGCTATCCAATTTTCTGAGCTAAGTAATAAATTTTTCAAAAGATCACCATTAGAACAAATGCTTCTATTAGGATCTAAAGTAAGCTTATTTGCTAATTCAGAAACATAAATTAGTCTTTCTAATAGAAAAAAGGTACTATTCCAATGCGTTTCAGTATCAAATATAATTGGATTTAAAATATTTTGATTATTTGTTTCTATTGTTGAATTATCTTTTTTTAATTTTACTTTCAGAAAAGTTTCTTTTAGTAAAATACAATATTTGTCATGGTTAACTATAAAACTATTCAATTTTTTTGCTGCATCAATTAAAATTTTAATTTCTTTTAGCTCATCTTTAATTGTAAGTTGCATAGTGTATGCAACACAATGAACATGATTAGTTTCTAGTTATCACATTGCTTTATCATTGAAGCATCGTTATCATTTGTCCCACCCCTACCAAGTAACTTTGATGTAATGTTCTATTTTTGAAACTATTTGCGTAAACAATCTTCAATACTATCACCTAAATGTACAGTCCCCGGCAAAAAGAATGGTGGTAAAATCCGCATCAATTTTTATGCTGTGGATTTACCGCTTTTCGAAATTAAGCATTGATTATATGCCTAAATCAGACATTGGAATCAGAATTTAAAAGGTATATTAAAAAAATAAGGTTTGTTATTTGTTTTTATTTTGATTTTA